GTTCAATTCCCACCTATGAGTGAGAACACACGGTATTTGGTTTTCTGTTCTTGCAATAGTTTGCTGAGAATGATGGTTTCCAGCTGCATCCATGTCCCTACAAAGGACACGAACTCATCCTTCTTTATGGCTGCATAGTATTCCATGGTGTATATGTGCCACATTTTCTTAATCCAGTCTGTCACTGATGGACATTTAGGTTGATTCCAAGTCTTTGCTATTGTGAATAGTGCCGCAATAAACATACATGTGCATATGTCTTTATAGCAGCATGACTTATAATCCTTTGGGTATATCCCCAGTAATGGGATGGCCGGGTCAAATGGTATTTCTGGTTCTAGATCCTTGAGGAATCGCCACACTGTTTTCCACAATGGTTGAACTAGTTTACACTCCCATCAACAGTGTAAAAGTGTTCCTATTTCTCCACATCCTCTCCAGCACCTGTTGTTTCCTGACTTTTTAATGATTGCCATTCTAACTGTTGTGAGATGGTATCTCATTGCGGTTTTGATTTGCATTTCTCTGATGGCGAGTGATGATGAGCATTTTTTCATGTGTCTGTTGGCTGTATGAATGTCTTCTTTTGAGAAGTGTCTGTTCATATCCTTTGCCCACTTTTTGATGGGGTTGTTTGGTTTTTTCTTGTAAATTTGATTGAGCTCTTTATAGGTTCTGAATATTAGTCCTTTGTCAGATGAGTAGATTGCAAAAATTTTCTCCCATTCTGTAGGTTGCCTGTTCACTCTGATGGTAGTTTCTTTTGCTGTGCAGAAGCTCTTTAGTTTAATTAGATCCCATTTGTCAATTTTGGCTTTTGTAGCCTCGCTGCCACCTTGCAGTTAGATCTCAGACTGCTGTGCTAGCAATGAGTGAGGCTCCGTGGGCGTGGGACCCTCTGGGCCAGGTGTGGGATATAATATCCTGGTGTGCCCTTTGCTAAGACTGTTGGTAAAGTGCAATATTAGGGTGCGAGTTACCCGATTTTCCAGGTGTTGTGTGTCTCAATTTCCTTTGGCTAGGAAAAGGAATTCCCTTCCCCCTTGCACTTCCCAGGTGAGGCGATGCCTTGCCCTGCTTCAGCTCTCGCTGGTTGGGCTGCACCCGTGGACCAGCGCCAACTGTCCGACACCACCCAGTGAGATGAACCCGGTACCTCAGTTGAAAACGCAGAAATCACCCGTCTTCCGTGTCACTCATGCTGGGAGCTGGAGGCTGGAGCTCTTCCTCTTCGGCCATCTTCTAGATAAGCCAAGATAAATATCTTATTCCTACGTTAGATGACGGGGAGTTTTGCACAGAGTTGTGGTTAGCAATGGCTTTTTTCCTTCCTTTTCATTCATACATTGCTACATTCTTAATTCAGCGTCTTACATTTAGAGCTGGGTTTGAATCTTATGAAAATGCATACTTATTTTTGTAATACAGTCCAAGAGGAAAATAAGCTTTTATACATAGATATTCACGAAAGCACGTAATGTGTAAATCATGGGAACTCTTTATTTTTATGAGGTCAGCACTTAAGCCTCTTTGTGGTTATTGATCTAGAGAAGCTAGATACTCTAGCATTTCTAAAGGTTTAAGAGTGATGGTATCAGGGAGATTTACTATGGTGGTAAATTTTTATAAATTAGGATCTCATTTAACATTACAATGAAGCAACTGAAAGAAAGTCTTTGGAATCATTTCCTTCCTTCCTTCCTTCCTTCCTTCCTTCCTTCCTTCCTTCCTTCTCTCTTTCTCCCTTTCTCCCTTTCTCTCTTTCTCACTGTCACCCAGATGTGAGTGCAGTGGCATGATCTTGGCTCACTGCAACCTCTGCCTCCCAGGTTCAAGTGATTCTTGTGCCTCAGCCTCCTGAGTAGCTGGGATTACAAGCGTGCACCACCACGCCTGGCTGATTTTTGTATTTTTAGTAAAGATGGGTTTCACCATGTTCGCCAGGCTAATCTTGAACTCCTGACCTCAAGTGATCTGCCCGCCTCGGCCTCCCAGTGTTGGGATTACAGGTGTGAGCCATCATGCCTGGCCTGGAATATTCCTGTTTCTATTTCCAGCTTTCTCTTAACCAAGGGAATAGAAGGATAGCTCTCCTATGACCTGGCCAGGAGTTTGAAATAATTCTGTGAAGGCATGGAGAAAATGTCTTTGCCTTCTACCAGAAGTCTTTGTCTCTTTGTCTACATATGCAAGAAAAGATCTGTCTGCTCTTCTTCCCTTTTGATACCTATATCAGAAGTCAAGATTAACTCAGAACTCTCAAGGCAGTCCATAGCCCCAAAGTCAGGATGAAAAAGATTTGCCTCAAAACTACTATAGGAAAAAATGAGTAAAGTGATTTGTGGGCCTGGATTGATTGAAGAGAGCAGGGGTCCCACAGTCCTTTGCCTGCTGTGATTCTTTCAATAGTTTCCATAGTTTACAGAACATGTTGATTTTTATGGCTTTAACCCTGAGATTTTTTAGATGGCATAAGCCTCAGATTCAGAAAGAGCTCTGATTCCTGATTGCTTTACTCAGACAGGCCTTTCAGCAGCTGTAATCTGGGTCTCAATCATCCGCAGGTGCAATGCATTGTTAGAATCTCACCTTCGGTGGGCCTTTGAAGCCTGCCTTCAACCCTCAAACAACAGCTTCTGGAGTAACCTGCTACCTCCATGTGCACACGTCTTCCCCAGCACAGTTGCAGTGAATAAAGGTGAATTGTTGCTGGAATGACTGTCTGCCAGATGACACTGTTGAATGTGCTATAGTAGTCAAATGTCACATCTGGAAGGCCCAGTGCTCACAGCTGGGCTAAACGCCAGACACTAGCACCACACATTCATTCTACATGTATTTACTGAGTACCTGCTATGAGCCAGGGGTGGAAGCTCCAGTTTGTTATCTGACTGCCACTTTGCTTTCCAAGCTACCTATTGGTTTCTTGATTTTGTCACCTTTTGGTCAATTAGAGAATTGATAGTAAGAATTCCAGGCAGTTTTCAGTCCCAGGGTTGTTGAGAGGATTACCACCAATGCAGAATGCCCCAGCTGCCCTAAAAATATAGACAGTAGAGTTAATGCACCCCAGTTGAAAGCATTATTATTTCAAAGTGCAGGGTGGGAGACTTGAGCTCTAGTCCTGGCTGTCATTGTGTTATCTTGGGCCTGGCCTTATGTTGGCCTCAATCTCCTCATCTGCTAAATGAGTGGAGTGGATTAGACAGTGTTTAAGGGCCCTTGCAGCTCTGACATTCCTGGATTAGACTGTAAGCATTTGGAATGTGTTTAGCAATTCTAATTAGGCAATTTTGTAAACTAGTCTGTTTTGGTTCAGTTAAGTAAGGAAGAACACCTTTTCTTTTTTCCTTGGCGGAGAAAATTGGACAGTACTTCATTCCTGTCACTATAAAACAACTAAATATTCAAAAGAACTAAAAACAATCATACTTAAAGAGAAAGTTAAAATGACTGCACTATCTTAGCACACTTTCCTTCACTTGGTAAGAGTTCTATTTTAATCTGTCACTTCCAATATAATGGCAGCATGTTTTAGTCTATGTAGGCAAATTAGCTACAGTGATTTTGAAAGCACTTATGATTCTTATATGGCAATTGCAAATGCCCTAGGTAGAATCCAGTCAGGGCTATCTCCGAGGACATTGGCTCTTAGTGAGCTTAAAGGCCCCACATGTTTAGTGGTGGCAATATGCCACAGGTGGCTCATGATGAATTCAATCATTTTTGAGCCCATGACCAAAAGAACTGTAGCTTAGAGATTTATGGGTCCAGGAGCTCCTTTCTCTACCACAGAGAAGACCAATCACAGGAGTCCTGAGGCCAGTTTCCCACTGGTGCCTTTGTGGAAACAAGGCCAGAGCATCTTACTTTTACTAATTTTGAAGTGCTGAGGCTACAGACCTTTGGTCATTCAAATTTGAAGCAACATGTTTAATGCATGAATTAGCATCATCCTTAAATCTGAGGCAGACAATTATAGTGTCTCTTCTCTCTTCCCCTCCTTTAGTCAACAAAAGCAGAACCAATTTCCTTTCATTTGTTCATAAAATCTAAACTCCAGGCATTATTCTTATTTAAGTATGGCCTTCTTTCATGATACTCAATACAAGACTAATTGCTACTCTGGGATAAACATGAATTCGGATTCAGCTAACAATTATTGAGCAACTACTGTCTAGTAGTGTAACAGGCACTCACAAAGCAATGTATATACATTATACATTATTATAACTATATATATAAAATCTGAATTGCAATTTAATGAACACTGTTGGTATTTGGCACACAACAATTACTCCTTGAATATTTGTTGAATGAAGACATAAAAATAAAAACATAAAATCACAGACTAACAAAATTGCAAGGGATTTTGGAGAGCATCCTGTCAAACTCTTCCATTATACAAGTGGAGAAATCGAATTTCCAAATGGAGAGTGATTTATTGAAGGCCATACTCACAGCTAGTTAGACCCAATTCTGTCTCAGGTGGATTCAGACCACTTTCCTCTCTGGAACACAGCTCACACTACCTTATATGAAAGCTGGATAACAGAGCATCAAATCTCTGCTATGTTATATTGCATTTGAAAACATTTTTCAGAGTGTTTTGTTGAATGTAGTATTTGGGATACCTCTCCATGAATGATTTAACAAGAAACGCCTCAAGAAATGTATTTATTTATTTAATTAATTATTTTATTTCTGAGACAGAATCTCACTCTGTCACCCAGGAAGGAGTGCACTGGTGCGATCTCGGCTCACTGCAACCTCCCCCACCCCCTGCTCCCCAGGCTCAAGTGATTCTCCTGCCTTGGCCTCCCCAGTAGCTGGGATTACAGGCACAAATTACCACGCCCAGCTAATTGTTCTATTTTTAGTAGATACAGGGTTTCACCGTGTTGGCCAGGCTGGCCTGAAACTCCTGACCTCAGGTGATCCACCCACCTTGGCCTTCCAAAGTGCTGGGATTATAGGCATGAGCCACTGGACCAAGCCAAGAAATTTAAAAATATGTTTATTTATACTTATATGCGAAGACAAAAATATATTGACTAAAAGAACTAAAGGAATTAGCAAGAGTGAGGCCTGGCTGGGGATGAGGGGGGGCAAGAGAAGGCAGCAGCTTGGCGGGGTCGAAGTGATTTTGTCAGTAGTCCTATGCATCATCAAATACAGGGTGGCTGAATCACATCAATGGGATTCACAAAAAGCCAAGGTATGAACCAGAACACCAGTTTATTAATTCACGAAGGGAAACATACGTCTGTTGGTCAGCAACTCTCTAGAAAATTCAAGATAGAAGGATTAACTATAATCAAAATGTTCCACGGTGAACATGAAACCAGAAAAGGACAACTTAGTTGGCTGATTGGAATGACTTATGTCTTCGAGCCTGCTGCACCCTTCTCCACTTCAGGGGCATGCCAGTTAAAGGAGACATGTTACTTATGTCCTCTGGTCTAGGCAACTTCAACTTCTTTCTTGACTCTGAACACTGCTGAAGACACGCTGTTGAATTCTTCCTCAAAGTCTCTACTAGTTGTAGACTGCAAATGAGCTGTTCTCTTCTTTCTGTTACCATTATTATTATTAATTTTTAGAAAGAGTACAATATATCTGCGTCAATGTCAGCTTTTTTTCCATAACCATACAAGCTCTTAGAATGACTTATTGCTTCCATTATATGTGTGTATATGTGTGTGTGTGTGTGTGTGTGTATGTATATATATATATAATAACTCTCTGAAAGAAACTTTCCCCCCAAAATTTTCAGGCACGTTGCTTCATCCCTATGTTCTGAAAAGCAAGTCTCCACTATGAAAGCAAGTCTGGGTTTGATAGACATGTATAACTGCGTACAGAAGTATAACAGAATGATGCTCCCCATCTCTCCTTTAATGACTGTGGAGGGTAAAAGGGAGAGAGGGAGTAAGAAAGATAAAAACTGCTTTGGGGATTGGGATTTGAAAAAGGTAAAAGATTCAGGAATAGGATAGAGGAAAAGGAGTAGTGTATTTGATGAGTTTTAGCCTCTCAGCTACTCCTGTGTTCTTTCTTCATGAGTGTGGTACTGGTCTTGTGATAGAGTAGACCAAAGATGCTGTACTGTATACAGAACTAATAAACATTGATGTTTTGGTTGGAGAAGCAAAGAAGATCGGAAAGATGGAATCTGCTAAGGAGGGAAAATCAGATGAGTTAGTTGCTATAGTGGAGAACCATAGTATCTGAGGGACAGAGTGGAGAATTTCACTTCACAATTTTGTCAAGGGCTGGGCCCTTAGAAATGGCTATAATTTCCTAGCACATTATATTCCTCTAGTGATTCCATTTTCTAATCAATTTGCTAGGTAAAACATGAAATTTTCCCTGTAAAGAGAAAAAGCAATAATCATAGAATGTATATATTCAAATATAATGAGATGGGAAAGTGATTAGTGAGAGGCCCTGTTAATTTTCAGTGCCAATCAATTAACCTTGGAAATCCATCTTTCATTAAGTGAGCTTTGTTTTTTCCTTAATCCAGTTGACATACCGGGATACCTTGGTATATATTCCATATTTGCCTTTCATTGCACACTCTTCACCCCAGCTAATAATTCCAGTTAAGAAACTGGTCCCTTCCACTTCAGTAACATGGGGTCCCCCACTATCTCCTTGACATGAATCTCTACCTCCTTCATGGAAGCCAGCACAGAACATGTTGTTATAGATGGTGAACTTTGTAGATCGAAGACATGTGGCTCGGTCAACAAGTGGAACTCTAAGGTACTGAAGAACTGAAGCTGATCTTCCTTTGTTGAAGACTCTTCCCCAGCCACTCACATAGCCAGATCCAAATTTGAGGAAGATGTTCGTGTATTCCTTGTCAGCAATGCAAATAGGTGTAACATAGCTGTTTAGCACTAAGGGTTCATCCAGTTCCAGAAGGGCAATGTCATGGTTGTACTTATTAATAGTTGCATTGTAGTTGTGATGAGGAATAATTCGAATCACATTTCGCTTTTGCTCTGTATGTTCTGTCTCCTCAATGTTATGTTCACCTATTAAAAATAAATTTCATTTTAAGTCACAAACAGTATTTCACATACACAGATTTTCTAAGGGTCTACTCGGGATCACTGACCTAATTGGCAATGTCAGAGATCTCATTCTTCTATTGTGATAATTTTGGTTAAATGTAATGAGAACCAATGCATATTTTTCAGACCAAAAAGCCATTCAGGACTATCATAGAGATGGTTCTGTTCACTTATGCTGTTATAAGCTTTTCATTGATGATAATGAAACCACTAGTCATGAATTATCCTAGATTTTCCAAATTTCAAGTATTCTGACCCCTTTTTTGAGCACAAATTCATTTGGCCATTAATTCAAATGTTTGTTTTCTAAGAACCTGCTACAGGTTGTGCCAAGCACCAGAGACAAAAGGATCAGTGACATGATACTGGTTTTTGGGAAGACTTTCTGGTAGGGAAATGACTACATCAATAACTAATTGTACCTCACTGAAAGGAGTGATAATATGGGTACATCAAAAGAACTATGGAGGGTTGGAGGATGGTGCAACTTGGGTTCTGAAATTATGACCCTTCTGCCTTTAGCCCAATTTATTCAGCAACAATTTTATTAGACCTTAGTAAAATATGGTGTACAAATCATATTAAAGAGCTAGTGGTGCTGCAGATTATTATTCTTTATTTACCTGCGACAACTGTAATTTTAGCATCAGTTTCAACACAGTGGGCAGCAGTTACAACCCATTTTTCATTAACGATAGAGCCTCCACAGAATGCATCAACTTTACCATTCAAAACGACCTGTGAAAACAAAATTAAGACTCTTACTGCATAATATATTTGATCTAGAAAAAAATAAATATGCGTGCTGGTTACAGGAATAGGCAAAATATTGGCTTCTAGGTGCTGGCAGAAATGGAGTTTCTGGAAATGTGAGCTTTGCAGATGAATTAGTGTTTCCGGTGCATAAACAAAAAAGCCATTTATGTAACTGCATTGAAAGCAACACACAGAGACAAGGAAGCTTAAGCTGAGGCAGATCTGAGAAATGGCTTCTTTTGGTGATTTGAGGTTCTTGGATATTTTTCCCCATGAGTCAGTTTCTCTGATGGCAAAATTTGCTTCATGGGGATACAGCAGGTACAGTAGGAAACACACTGACTTGACTCCTTGAGATTAATAGTTATTAGGGTGTTCCCTGTGCCTACATGATGAAATTTTTTTGCTACATGTTACTTGAAAGAAAAACTACTGATTTTTCTAGGAGGTCTTTTCAAACCCTTTCCAAACTGGAATATTATGAAACAAGACCTAAGGCCTCCATAAGGACTGTGCTTATAGCCATGCAGGCAGTGAGGAATAGCAGGGCCCATTCATTCTTTCCACTCTCTCTTAACCATACTCTACTCCCCTCTGGCTGGATGGTAAGCTGCCTTTGTCCTAAAATGTCAACTTAGCTGTGGTTGAATTTTGGGCAAAGTGGACAAAGGAGTGACGCATTGAGCCTGGGTATTGTTAGATAAGAGGCCAGTTCATTATTTCAGCTGGATATTCGTTGCATAATTACAGTGGACAATGAATATTTTCTCCATCTCAATGTCTAGATCGACTTGGAGGATTTCACTTCCAGTTGTAAGCAAGTGCCTTGATCCACCTTTACAGGAAGAAAGCTGGGAAGTGTGAACACTAGAGGGCACACTCAACATTTGGTAAATCCTTTTCAGGCGCTGACTAGTTCTGAACGACTGCCCTTGTATTAAAGCGCACGCAGTCTTAGGCATAAACCCATTCATAAACAAGGGAAAGGAGGTGGTCCATCACTTTAAGTGGATATCAGATGGTCCTTGGGGCATGTTCTTTTTGTCCTGAATTTAATTTACAGAACGCCTACTGTGTCCTGGACACTGAAGCACTAGCCTCCTACCTGGAGACCTAAGGGCTGAGTCATTAAAGGGCTCTGACTTCCTTTTTCATACTCTGGCTCTCCTGCTCTTATCTTTTTTTTTTTTTTTTTTTTTTTAGATGGAGTCTCGTTCTGTCACCAGGCTGGAGTGCAGTGATGAGATCTCAGCTTACTGCAACCTCTGCCTCCCAGGTTCAAGCAATTCTCCTGCCTCAGTCTCCCGAGTAGCTGGGACTACAGGTGCATGCCACCACGCCCAGTTAATTTTTGTATTTTTAGTAGAGACGGGGTTTCACCATGTTGGCCAGGATGGTCTCGATCTCTTGACCTCGTGATTCGCCCGCCTTGGCCTCCCAAAGCGCTGGGAGGCATGAGCCACTGCGCCTGGCCATCTCCCTCTTCTCCTAGCTGTTGCTTTTTATTCTGAAATGTTGTAAAAATACAGAAAAAACTACATAATATAACAAACATCAGTGTGCATACAACCCAGACTTAACAATTTTCCTAATTCTTTTGAACATTTATTTGAGGGTTTACTTTGGGTTAATCATTGTGGGGTTTATAGACATTTAATACAAAATAATATCCTTATGATGTGATATTAATATATTTATAGATGCATGAACTAAAGTTTAGAGAGAAACGCTAACTCCCCTGAGGTCAGTTGGTAAAGCTAGGAAGCAAACTCAAGTCTGGCCGGCTCCAGAATTTGTGCTCCTAAGCACCCAATTTCAGTCCAGGCATGGTCTGTGGACCAGTTGCAGTAGAATCATCTGAGGGCTAATCATCCTTATAAAATCATCCTTATAAAATGCAGATCTGGGGGCTAATCCAAGCTTAATTTACCAGAATATTTGGTGGGTGGGACTGGGTAAAATGAAGCCCTCCAGAATTCTTTACATAATTAAGTTAGAGACCTGTTATATATCTACTGAATCAGAATTTCCAAGACTTGATAATCTTTATGTTTTAAAAGTCTTCACTCCAAGCAGGAATGGCTACATACTTTGTGGGGCTCAGTGAGAAATAAAAATGTGGCGCTCCTTGTTCAAAAGCTAGGAAGAAAGGTGCCATTGAAGACACTAAAATACAAAACTTTTTTCTTTCCTCTGTAGTCTCTTTTGTAACCCATCATGTTACATTTTTTAAATTCGCCATTTAATATTTTGCTCCCTCTAGCATGGGGATATTTGCTGGGGCAGTGCAGACCCTCAAAGGTGTCCAGGAAGTGCACCCTACAATTTAACACCCATATGTCCTTAGGATCCCCTGCCTGCCAGCCACAGGATGCTGGGTCCCAGCAGGGGAGGGTGTGTTAATCTTCCCTTGTCATTGGCCTACTGTGCCAATCAAGGTGGAGACGTGATTCCCAAGGGACTCAACTTTCATGCCAGGATGTGTTCCATGCCTGAAATGGAGGTGGACAAGGGGTGTGCCCCCACCTTTCACCCTCCAAGTGTGCTGTGGCACATTCTTGGTCCAGAGATGCCACATGGCCAAGCAACCTTCCAAGACAGCATAGGGCATGTGCACCTGACCAACCTTAACTCTCCCTGTACCTATGCCCATGTCCCCACCGGGGGAGAAGAGTGGCAGTGGCAGCTGGGTAGGGATGAGGAGGGAGAGTATGTCTGGGCACCATGGGGCGGCAGTGGTCATTGGGCAGGTGTTTGGAGGGAGAGCCAGGGCTGGCTAAGGCACCAGGTGGTAGGGGAGTGGGGGGTCGAGAAATCACCCTGGGAGGTGGTGAGAAGTGGGGTTGCAGGGTTTCAGGTCCCTAGGTAGCCCATGCTCTGGCTGGCTCATCAGACTTCAGTTACAAAACAAAAATGCAAAGCAGTAAACCCCAGATGCATGATCTGTCTGAGTGCAAAGCCCTGTGTAAGTACGCCGGTCATAAGACCATGTGTCTGGCTGTAACTCCAATTGATTTTCAGCATCAATAAAACTTGGCCAACACTGTTATATACTGGTCATGATAGTTACAACTGAACATATCTGTTTAAGCAATTGGAATTAAGAATTAACATGCAATGATATCACGGTGCTTCTCCTCTGGCTAGTGTATTAGTGGGGAAATTGAACATCTCTCAGCCCAGTAGGCTAGTTAGGCCAGGATGAATGACATCCACAGGCCCTGGGCAGAGAGATTATGATGTAGCTGACAAAGACTTGTTTCCTGGAGCTTCTACTACTTTCTGGTGGATGGCTAAGAAATACGGTTGTGTTATTTTAAGTCTGAAGAGCATTATTTTTGCCAACCCCTGACCAAACATCCTTGCCAAGGAAAAGGCCTAAAATATATTTGCATTTAAAGATATTACAAACTATTTGGTTTTGGGATGTTTGGTCATTCAGGATCATAGCTATCAAAATATTAGCTATTTGGGGTATGAGATGTCTGCTCGGTCAAGGAAAAGTTCTTTTTAAGAACTTTTTAAGACATCATTTTGGGGAATAATGGGGAAAATGGGAAGGCATATGCTCTGAGTAAGGCATCTGAGTTATAATCTGTCAAACATTTTTGTTAGTCATAGTCTAATGGGAGCCTGTTTTCCCTCTTTCAGACACACATATATACACACACCAACCACACACATGCTTCTACAAAATATACATTCACATCTGAATTTGTGCTCTTCATTGATGATGCCAGCCCAGAACAGCTCTTACCCTTTTGTTCTCTTCCTGACCTTTAACTCTATCATAACCATTCCCTGTGATTTCAGCAAAACCATTATTCTCCCTACCTACCCACCCAAGCTTTACAATAAAGAGTGTTTGCTCTCACTCATATACAAAGCAAATTCATTTGTCTGTGATGTACAGCTTGCTATGCCCACAGATGTGGTTTGCCTAGTCCTTTGCTCTAGGTCATTTGGCTGGGAACAGATGGGATGCTCACTTTGGTTTTTAATGGTTAGCTAGTCATTGAAGTGCATTTCATCAAATAATCTTAGAGGATAATTGTTTAAATGTCTGTCCAGATTAGCTTTGTAGAGCCAGGTGAGGTTACATATGTCACGTTCTTATTCCTCTTAACTGAATTTTTATCATCTGAGATAGGAATAATAGAGGGCTACCTTTTTCAAGTGAAGATATTGCTATAGTCTTAAGACCTTAGTGCAACATCCTGGCCCCTAAGGAAAAACAAGTTCTGATTCATACATATAATAACTTTGCATGCTATCTGCCACTGGGATGTGTCCTAATCCAACAGAAAGGATTGAATCTCTGTAGCTAGCTGTACAGGGTAGCTTCAGACCAAAGCTGAGGGAAGTGGAGACAGGGGAAACTGCTAAGACATTTTAAAGATTTTTTTTTTAGGTCAAAAATAGAATAAGAAACAGACCGTTTCCCTGGACATTTTCTGTAGGTTAATACGGTTAACCATCGGTAAATGCATATGCTACAACTTAATATGAGCATAAGGAAAGCTTAATCACTTGGCTTCCATTGTATTCTTTTTTTTTAATCTGATAGAATCATCTTCAAATTGTTAAATATTTGAAGACTGTATGCCACACACCGAACTGAGGCCTATGGTAAAACAGAAAATGGAAAAACCAGGTACTTCACATAAAGGGCCAAATAGTTCTTTGGAAATGTGGGAGGAATTTTGGGGGCCAGTTTGCGCATGCCTAGAATTGTCGGCTGGCAGGGTCATGGCCATGGGATCCAAACCAAATTAAAGCTTTGTTGCTTCTTCAAATCTCTCGCTTTTGAGTTGTTGATGAAAGCTATCTAGTAATACAGGCGTTACAGTTTCCCTTTTTTCACTAATGTTCAAAGGCTTTCATTTTTTCCCTACGTAGCGGTATGCAATTCAAGACTTGTTTTAGCTTACTACACCTCTAGACATATACTTACTCTAAGAAAAACTCATTTCTGTTCCTGTGTAGTGCATTTAACCCTCTAGCTTCCTCTTTCTACTCCTGAAGTATTTCTTCAGAGACCCTGCTTCCTTTCCCGAGTTCTCAAGGAGCTCTGAGCCCATCGCTGGGCATCTGGAGGGAAACTGAAGTACCTCCTTCCATTGGCCTCACGCGGTTCCTATCTTAGACCTTCTAATCTCGCGCGACTTTAGAAGTTGGCCCGGCCCGCCAGTGCTTTTGGCTTTAGGAGGTAGCAAAGAGAATGGGGCCGGCAGCGCCGTTCCGGAACCATAGGGGGCTCCTGGGAAGCTACCGTCGCGAGCAAGGCGCGGCTGCGTTGGCCCTTGGCTCCAGCCTGGCAAGCTGAGGTGAAAGCCCTGGAATAAGGTAAGAAAGGAGCGCGACCGCAGACGGGATACGTGCTAGGTGAACATGGCTCTGTAGGGTCTCAAAGCCGGACAGGATCCCAGCGGTCCCTTAGCCTGCTCTGATCTCTCGCCAGGTGAACAAATGCCCTCTCCCTGAATGGGGCTATCCAGCCGCTCCTGTCCCCAGTGACAGAACAGCTCTTTAAGTCAACAATTCCGACAAACATTTGTTCAATCAACATTTGCTCCTAACGCTGCCCAACCTACGCAACCAACCCAGTGGTTGTTGGTTGGGAAGGGCTTTCTTAATGGAGGTCAGAATCTTCCTGCCCGCTTGCAACTTTCACCCTTAAGTCCACAAAGAAGCTGTCTTCCCTTTTCCCTTGTGGCTCTTGCAAACAGCTCACCTTTTCTTTAACAGACTAAACATTTCTAGTTTGTTCAATCTGTTCGTTACTCAAGATGAAAGTGAACTATGTTGTTCTTTGTGAGATTTCTTCACCAAGTGATCGCTTTATTTCTCACCCTGGCTAATTTGAAAGATAAAAGAAACCACTCTGAAGAGAAAGGTTCTTATGAAGCATCAGCATTTTGAAACACTCTTTTCTAGGTGACACTGCTAAATAGTATTTCATATTTCAAAGCTAGATATATAATGTTTTCACCACTGAAGCCCCAGCTGTTGCTTGCTTTCTCTTGATGCCTTAGTCACAGCAGGTTTGCTGCAGTCTGATCTGCAATCAAATCTAGTATTTCCTCCTGCAGATTAACCATGACATGGTGGAGGTGGCCCATCCACAAATGAGGAGAGATTCTGGTTTGTTTCATTTTGTCTAGAAATGACTTTTATACACTCAATTTATCTCGTATTTTTGAAAACCAGTAACCTTTCATAAGGAACTAGATGGAGGTGGTGTGGAGGAAGCAATGCAGAAGTATGACGGGGTCTTTCACAACTATTCTGGAAAGTAGCTCAGCTTCTTGCCTTTGGAAGAGAATAAAAGTTAGTGCTTTGAATCTGTCCAGGTCAGTAATCTTAGTTCATATGGATGAAATAGGGAGTGAACCTATGTGCACGTGCATGTGTGCACATGCATGTATGAGTGATCTTGAACATTCCAAATGATCTTAGCTAGGCTTGAGAGCAAAAAGACAACAGGGACAGTAACTATAAGTGTGCAGTGAGAAGGTCATGACATAATTTGAAATGATGTGTATCATTTATATCTTCTCCCTCCCAGAACAGCCACAACCACCATCTCATAGTCTTTTCTGCTTGAAAAGAAAATAAAGTGTCTGCTTGAGTTACTAAACTTTCTTTCAGGAAAGATCTGCATTGTTAACACATTGGCAAACATCTGGTTTAAAGAGGGTGGGTGAGAAAGTGAAATTATGTGACTAAACTGAGCCTTTATACCCTGTTCCCCTTTTTAGTTCTGATTTAAATGTATTTGCCATTTCATTTCTGGAATGACAAGGAGACAATGCTAAACTCACAAAGCATACATTTTTTTTTTTTAAATCTTGGACTTTTAAAAACGGAAGTTATCTTCTTAGCTAATATATTTTCCGGGGTTCTTGGGTCCCCCACTGTAAGCACTGTTCTATGTCTCACAAACCCAAGGAAGATAATTGTCATAAAGTAGGATCTTTTTTTGTAACCATGTTATCCATGGAAGTTGGACACCTAATGAATGAAAATACATGAGAACGCAAATGACAAAATTAGAATTAGATACATGGATATTAAATACATTGAAGGCATAATAAGAGTGCTTGCACTCAAGAGGGGTTGTTCCAGGAAAGGTTCATAAAGAAGGTCAATATTACAGAATTGTGAAGAAGAGCAAAGATATGGATGAGTGAAGGAAGGGGTTATGGTGGGTAAGGGAAGCAGCCTTTATAGGATGCATTTAAGTAGAAACAGAGGAGGTAAAAAGGAATGTACAGTGTCCCATTTATGGTCTATAAGATCAGGTCCAGCAAATATTGTCTTTTTAAAAAGCAAAGGTAAAAGAAAGGGAAAACCTTGCTTGTGATGTTCTGCCACTCTTTGATACCATTCTCCACAATGCTTGTGCAGTTATACCTACTGCCCCATCCCCAGGTATATGTGTAATATCTTACATCCATTATGTTGGAAAATGGCAGGCATTCTCAAGAATCCTGGATAGATACACAGCTAGTCCCAGAAAAATTCCAGTGCTGTTAAAACTCAGGAGATTTACCTGATTCTGGCTTAAATTGTTACCAGTTTGATCATTGCAGTCTTTAAAGTTATCAGTCTCTAATGGCAGAGATTCAAACCTCAGTAGAGAAATCCGTGAAATTACTACCAAATCATGACTGTGGCAACTAGGGAGTTTTAAATTAGACTAAACGATTATAAGTGCTATCCAATAGAAATTTCCGCAGTAATACCATGTTTTGTCTCCACTTGCACTCTGCAATACAGTAGTTAGTACCCGCATGTGGCTGTTATGCACTTAAAATTTGGCAGGTGCAATTGAGGAACTGAATTTTTAATTTCACTTAATTGTAGGTAATTTAACTTTAAATAGCCATATATGGCTAGTGGTTACCTATTGGACAGCACAACTTTATATAAGGACCATCCTGGCTTCCTGCCTGGGGAGTGGGGCCAAAGAGGTGGGTTATTCCTTCTCACAGATGGAATCTCTTAGGCTTTAGCTGTAGGCTAAGTTACAACCCAGATTTTGCTACAAATGTAGCTCGTGGTTGTTAAATGAAAAATGTGCATAGGTAATTCTACATATGTAGGTTGTTTGCAGACCACACTTGGAGAAATGTCTGCAGAGCACACTGGAAGGACTAGGTACAACAAGTCCATCATTTGGTGTTTTGAACCCTGGCTTCTGTAACAAGTTCATTTCCTTTGGGCCAGTGTTTTTCTTTTTCCGTTTTTTGAGATAGGGTCTTACTCTGTCCCAGGCTGAAGTGCTGTGGTGTGATCACGTTTGACTGCAGCCTCAACTTTCCAGGATCAGGTGATTCTCCCACCTCAGCCTCCTAAATAGCTGGGAGCACAGGTGGGAGTCATCACACCTACCTAATTTTTACATATATATATATTTTTTTTATAGAGATGGAGTTTCGCCATGTTGCCCAGGCTGGTCTCAAACTCCTGGGCTTAAGCGATTCTCCCGTCTCAGTCTCCCAAAGTGCTGGGATTACTGGCATAAGCCACTGCACCTGGCCTAGTTTTCAAACTATAAAGTGCATCAAAATCACCTGTAGTGCTTGTTTGCACACAGATTGCTGGGCCCCACCCCCTAGATATTCTGATTTGGTAGGTCTAGGGTGGGGGTAGGAGAATTTGCATTTCCATATTCTCAGGTGATTCTGATGCTACCACGAGAACTATAGCTGTAGACCAAGACACTCTCTGATGCTGTTTCTTGGAACCTAGTTCTTGCCTTAATCCTTCCTCCCTGAGTCCCTTTCTTTACCCCCTTTTAAATAATCCAATTTTTCTTGGCCGAAAGACTTTCCAACTCTCACCAGTTTTTGCAAGGGCTGAGGCTGAAGTAGTACCCTGTGACCTTTCTTCCAGACTTTCATGTCGTTGACCAGTTGCCTGTCTGGAATCATGCTATGCATTTCCTTAATGCCAAATTCTTCCTGACCTGTATAGTAGCTGATTTGGGCCTCTCTTTCACCAGCTGCTCATCTCTGGAGGCTTTCTCACATTGGTTAGTGCTGAAACTTACCTAAATACTTCTCACATCCCAATAGGGCTGTCTAGTAAAATAATCTCAGTCTCCCACTTGGCCTGTGTCTTGCCAGCTGAGTTCCAGTTTTGACACACCATCAGTATAAAGTACCTGCCAAGGGAATTGACCTGGTTTGGCATCTTCTCCACCAACAACCCGAGTGAAGTCATTAAATGATTGGGTGCTTTGAGTGATGTTATCCAAAATGGTTTCAGCTTCAGTAGAATTTACATATTCCACATCAGGAAAAACAGTCTCAGCACGGGTGAGTGTAGAAGTTTGTGAAACAGAAACTCTTCCACATGGAAATGGCACTAGAAAAACAGAAGAAAAATTAGTAATCTGATATTTCTCATTGGCAAATGGAACATGTATTACAAAAATTGAGATTGAGGCCCATCCTTGTCATTTCTGAGAAGCAGGCCTATCAGTATTTAAAAAAATCTAATCAGTGAATAGAATCTCAAGCTAAAAGGTTGATTGCATTATTTTCATGGACAGTTTTCAAATCCTTCATGAAAAGAACACTTGGCTCTGGAATTCATCATCTTTACGGAAATAGAATAGGTGTTCCAGAATCAAATTTGGTAAGACTTTTACAGAGTCTAATGACTTTCTGTTTAGTTTCTTTACTAAAAAGTCTTACTCCCAGTTGCCATCCCTGAATGGAAGTCTGAAGATTGATGCTTTGTAACTTTAACTTTCCAATTTGGTAAATGGGACTTCTGCTGCTTATCATTAGGAAGGTTTCTTTTGCAGACTAAAATGCCTTCTAGATTCCAAGGTGCATTTTACGTTATTTTCTGGGGAGAGATCATTGTGATTCAATTACCTGGGTTTCAAATATTAGCCAAAGAGATTGCTAATATAATTATCACAGTCATATTCACCAGGACCTGCCCACCATTTTTCCTTGGGTTCGTTTATTTTCTGAAGAAAAATAATGTATTGATACACTGGGGACTACCAGAATGGGAATTTGTAGTCAAACAAAGTCACTTCAGATTTCATTTTCATTTCTCACTTTCCTTCAAGCCACATTCCTTGTAACAGACATTTCTATAGCAACCAGCTGCGACAAAGTATCGTGAAGACAGCAAGTGGTTGAGAAACCAGGAAATTAGTTCAAAATACTTATGTATAAATGTACACGATCAACAATGGCTACAGAAAAGGGACCATTATCGTTGAAAAGGCAGAAAAGCTTATTTTAAGTTTGGCCTACTTGTTCTGCTAAAGCTAAGGCTATATTCAAATATAACACTTAATAGTTGGAGGTGGTTCTCAATTCTGTTTCTCTTTTATAGCATAGAAGAGCTTGTAAGGGTTTAGCTACTATGCCATCTGTCTATACTGGAAGTTAGGTTTTTAAGGTTAAAATACACACACAGACACACACCCACACACATATTCATGCTCCTCTCAAGGTAGACTAGCTTTGAGACAGCATATGTGAAGAACCAGGCAGAAGGACAAGTGGGCAGGCCCCGAAGCCTTAGAGATTCTTCATTTTAGTTGCAGGATATATATTCCTGCCTTCTGGTTTATTGGGAATAGGCCTCCAAATCTGGCCATAAACTGGCCCCAAAACTGGCCATAAACAAAATCTCTGCAGCACTGTGACATGCTTGTGATGGCCTTGACGCCCACGCTGGAAGGCTGTAGGTTTACCAGAATGACAGCAAGGAACACCTGGCCCACCCAGGGCGGAAAACTACTGAAAGGTGTTCTTAAACCACAAACAATAGCATGAGTGATCTGTGCCTTAAAGACACATTTCTGCTGCAGTTAACTAGCCAGACCCATCCCTTTATTTCCCATAAGGAATAGTTTTAGTAAGTCTTATGACCAACTTGCTGTCAATAAATATGCGGGTAAATCTCTGTTCGGGGCTGGTAGCTCTGAAGGCTGTGAGACCCCTGATTTCCCACTCCATACTCTATTTCTGTGTGCGTGTCTTTAATTCCTCTAGTGCCACTGGGTTAGGGTCTCCCTGACCAAGCTGGTCTCGGCACTGGTTCTTTCTTTAATTTCCTCTGCCTGGTATAGTGCTGAGATAGGTACTGGAACCAGTTACAGAGAAATGGTACACGATTTAATGTACCAATTTAATAAGATATTAGGCTTTAGAAATGCAAAAGAAATTATATCTAGTTTGCTTCAAAAAAAAGCCCCTCATTTATCAAATATAATTGACCCTGAAGAGCCTAAATTTTTCAAAACATAAAAGTGTCTACTGCTTTCATCTTTAGATAAGAGCCATACGAACATGGAGTGGAGATGCTCTGAATACACTAATCAGCTGTTAAAATGGTGGCATGGTTGATATGACTGGGAAACATTGCTTTGTTCACAGCCATATAGATTGTGCTGACCAGCCTAGCAGAACTGAAAACAGTTCATTGCCGGAATCATTCTGACACCAATTGTGTAAACTCAGCTTCAGACCCAACAATAAAAAATAACTTTCTCAGAGTAAACTAGCCAGCCCAGATGGAATCATGCTTCAAACTTACCGTCCTTGTACTAGAAGCCTATCCACTCAATTATTTGTGTATATTTTATGATATAGTATTACTACATTGATTTGACTTGATGAATTACAAATATATATGCAGAAATCACACAAATTAATTGCTTTGTGATATAAATGTTAGAGAAAAATTGGACAAATTGGACACAGAAAAGAATTCAGGTTGTAGATGATTACATAGTTTAAAATATGATGCAATCTAGAAAATTAATTGGTCTAATTCAAGCTACTGATCTTTTCTATGATTTCAAAAGGAAGCAGATTCAAGTAGGAATTAAAATTATGTAGGTTTGTTAAAATGTTGAAGGCTCAGATACAGATTTTCTTTAAAAACTCTTATTTGGATTATGACCTGCTGGTTCACAGGACTTCTGGTTCTCTGCAAGTCGATATCCCTCGGTACAGGAGCAAACCACCTTGTTATCAGCAGTATTTTTACAAAACTGCTTGCATCTGCCATTCTTAATGTTACATGTTACATCTAAAAGAAGCAAAATAGACAGTAACAGCATAATTTAACACACATTTCTAAAAAGTACATGGAAATATTGACTCGTGTATGGGTCAAATATACGTTGGGGGCATTCATGTTGCCCCCAATGTACATTGGGGAGAGAAATTTTGGAGCCTTGAACTAAGAGTGGAAAGAAAGGTAAAATAAACTTCTCAATAAGGCATAAAAATGGTGGTAGCACTATAATGGATTGGTTTAAAACTAACTGTTTGGATATTCTACTTTCACTAAATCGTAGACTACAGGTTTAAAAACCCTATTTATTAATGTATAACATATATTCAAAAAATACACAAAATTTTAGTATAAGTTTTCACGAAGTAAATGAGCCTATGTAAACACTAAACTGACCAATACATAGCACATTATCAATACCCCAGAAGATGCTCCCTCCCAATCATTCCACCCTTTTTCCTTTTTATAGGTTACCATTACCTGGACTTCTAACACAGTAGACAGTTCTTGCCAGCTCTTGAACTATAAACAGAAGTTCACAATATGTACTCGTCTGCGTCTTTCATTTAACATTTTGTCTATGAGATTAATCCATGTTTTGTGTAGCAGTATACATTGCTGTGTAGTATTCCATTGTATTACTATTACAGCTTTTATTTATTCATTCTACTGTTAATGGATATTTGGTTTGTTTCCAGTTTTTGGCTGTTATGTATCATAGTGTAATGAACATTCTTGTATATATCTTTTGGTGACATAAACATGCCTTTTTACTGGCTTATAATTATGAGTGAAATTACTGGATCAGATGTTCAGATCTAGTAGATACTGCCAAGCAATTTTCTAAAATGATTGTACGAACTTAAATTCCCACCATCACTGTATGGGGTTCAGTTATTAGGTGTCTGTATTGCAGATATCTTGTCTCAGTCTGTGACTGGTCTTTTCAGTCAAAGTAGTGTCTTTTGCTGAACAGGAGTTCTTAGTTTTAATATAGTCCAGTTTATCAATCTTTTCCTTTATGGTGATCACTTTTTGTATTTTAAGAAATTTTTACTTTCTGCAAGTTATGAATATAAAATGTTATTGTTTTATACTTCATGCCATATGAATATCTAATTGACCTATCACTTTTTATTGAAAACACCAACAATTCCCTTCTCTACTGCACTGGCACCTCTATCATAAATCAAGCCTCTATATAAGTACAGGTGTGCTTCTGAGCACTCTATTGTGTTTCACTCATCTATTTGTCTATCCTTGTGTCAGTACCACACTGTCTTAATAAATGTAACTTGATAATAAGTCTTGACATCTAGTAGTGTAAGTAGTACAAGTTTATTCTTCCTCAAAACTGTCTTGGCTATACTTGGGTCTTTGTATTTCCATATGCATTTTAGAATTAGCTTATGAATCCTGCCCGACCTCCCCCCACCAAAAAAAGCCTGCTGGGCACTTTGGTATTGCATTGAATCCATTAGTAAATATTTGATATGTATACTATATTGTATCCTTTAATTGATGGACATTGCCTATTCATTTATTTAGGTTTGCCTTAATTTTTCTCAATAGTGTCTCATAATTTTTTATGTAGAGTTCTTGCACGCCTTTCTCACATTTATTACTAAGCATCTAATTTTTAATGCTATTATAAAATCATTTTGAATCATTGCTGGTACATAGACATGCAATTGATATTTGTATGTTGACTCTGTATCCAGTAACCTTTCTATACTTATTTATTTATTTTAATTGTTTAGATGCTTTGGGTTTTCTATATGTACAAGCATTTTTTCTGAAAGTTACAGTTTTACTAATTTTTTTTCAGTGAACACAAAAAGCAAGAGCAATTCCATAATCTCATGTAGATACTGCCTTTCTGAATTGAAGTGTAATTTCTATTGCTTAGTTATTCTAGAAATTGCTTGGCATCCCGAGCTAGACTGTTTAACAGGTTACCTATAAAAGTAAAACCTGGAAGTCTTTAGAAATTACAGTGTTAGGATAGCAGACATGGAATCAACCTAAATGCCCATCAATGGCAGACTGGATAAAGAAAATGTGGTTCATATATACCATGGAATATTATGCAGCCATAGAAAAGAACAAGATTATTTCATTTGTGGGAATATGAATGGAGCTGGAGGCTATCATCCTTAGCAAACTAGCATAGGAACAAAAATCAAATACTGCATGTTCTCACTTGTAAGTGGGAGCTAAGTGATAAGAACTTACAAACACAAAGAAGGAAACAACAGATACTGGGGTCTACTTGACAGGGGAGAGTGGGATGAGGGAGAGGAGCAGAAAAGATCACTGTTGGGTACTGAGCTTAATATCTGCATCATGTAATAATATGTACAACAAACCCCTGTGACACATGTTTATCTATGTAACCTTCACATGTACCCCTAAACCTAAAATAAAACATTTTTTAAAAAGGAAATTATAGCGTTAGTAAGTCCATTAGGGCCAAAAAGCAACTTGAAGCTGGCTGAGGTGGTTACATATCAAACATAAAAGAATGAAATAGGGTCCTGTACGGTAACTGAAGACCAAAGACCAATATGTCATTAGTGCTAAGCATTCCAGTGGCCCACATTTTCTTTACTCTCCTATGCAATTCCCCTTATTAATAAAAAATATCTCTTGTCTTTTGAAATGATTTTCCTCTTGGATTCTATTTTGTCTGATATTAAGATTGCTTTGCTAGTTTCTTTTTGTTAGTTTTTACCTGATAGTTCTTTTCACATCCCTTCATTTTAGCCTCCCAGTGTAATTTTAGTTTAGGTATCAATTTTGTTAACAGTATACAATTAAATTTTTAACTCCAAACCGAAAGTTGTCATTATTAATAAATTAGTTTAACCCCAATTCACAATAATTGTGTGTCCTGATATATTTGGGTGATTCCTGCCATCTTGTTTTGTATTTTCTAATTACTGTGCTTTCCTTTTGTTTCTCCTATGCAATACCAATAACAGGAAGTAGCATGTTTCGGGACTTGTTAGCTTAGACCTGCTGAATTAAGAAACACAGGCTCTGCTCTTGAGCCTATTTCTGTTTCTAGAGCAGCACAGGAATATAAACAATGTAAGACACCTTTCCCCTTATGTGCATGTTTGACAACAGTAACACTTTCAATAGAAATCCTCAGTGGCCAGTGCAATCATAACATGAAAAGTTTGAAAATGAGTGACTGCATTAGATACCTCCTATGCACCACCTTCATTCTGCTCAGCTTCACCTGTGTCTTTTTCCAGCATGGTGGTGATTAGCTCTGGGTGGATTTCAACCGACCTCCTATGGGTGTATCCTTGAATTGCCTTGGCTCACAGCTGCACTAGGTGTCTTTTGCCTTGAAGCTTCCCTGTTAATGCTGAGGCATGGATGCCATATGACCCTCTCGGTACCCAAGCATATCCAACTAAGAAATGTGAGGGAGTTAATTCCCCATAAGTCGAACTTCTAACCAATGAGAGACAGATACTGACAAATTCTTTCACCTCTTCTTCCCATTCAGGTGGACTAACCTGAGACCAATTTGACTTATTGGAGACAGTCCCAGGAAGTTAAGCAATCAATTGCAGTTAGATACGAGTAGTTTGATAACTCATCCTCTTATTGGCTTTCTTTTCCTTTCTGCCTCACTCTTCAGTTCTTTTCTCTTGCCCCCTGGGATTGCACATGTTAATAAATAAGCTTGTGACTTTTTTTTTTTCTGGGGGAACACAGGCTAACAGAGTGACTGTATGGTTTTGGAGAATATGAATTTTTGAGTGACGAATCTAAACTTTTAAACTCTATTTTACATGTGCTAGCATAGCCAACTGTAATAATTAGCTCTTAGTCCTTACTGATACTTCAGGAAATAAAGGGAGGCAAATCAACTCTTGGCAGGGGGGACAAAGGAACCAGCTTGAGCTTTAACCTTTGCTACCAATAATCCACTAAGGGCATAAAGATGATCCAGAAAGATGGCACTTGGTCCTATTAATTAATTAATTAATTTAAAGGCCTTTCTCCTCACTAACAGTGGTAATATCCCTGGATCTTTTTTTTTTTTTTTTGTTACTAGCTGTCATTTTGTTGCTACGAAGCAATGCTAAAGTGTTCAGCCAAATCAAACATTACCTGTAGAAAGTGTTCCGTCAATATGAGATTGTGATACATTACGAAAGGTGCAGCTCGGTTTGTCCAGGGCATGCACAATGGGAATGAATAAACTCTGTGTTTTCTCAATTGTGATTCTGTGTCATTGGCTAAGAAGTAACCAGAACTCTGTATCATTATCCACATTTGTCATTGCCCTTTAGGGCCCAGTATGTTGCTGCTGCTGTTGATCTTTGGCTTGTTTTGTGCAGGAGGTGGGAAATATTGCTTCCTAATCAGCAATCTTTTGCCCTCAGCTAAAAGGCTGAAGATTCCAGAAATAAAATAATGGCACAAGGATTTCCAGGGGAGAGTTCCATAGAGCAGGGCCTAAGGAACAGTTAGAATGGGACTCCTTTATCAATTACTGAGCATTTATATGTCAGGTACTGTGGTGGGTATGGACTCTCTGGTCCTGAAGGGGGTCTCAGTGCCTAGAATATCTTTTGAAGAACATCTCAAAGCATCTGTTTTTCTCCCTCCATGTTAACACAAACACTTTCTAATTCCCTTCATGCCTACTACAAATGTTAGTATGTTCTGCTGTATTTTATTCTGCCTTTATATTTACTGATATATCCACTGGTATGACAACCAAAGCTTGGACAAAAGATGTTTTATTTAACAAGTTTACCACAAAATATGCTGTGCTTCAGCTAAACTCAACATAGTTCCTTTTTTCACTCCTCAGAAATATGTAGCAAATAAGACAGCAGTGTCTGTGACATGCTGGAAAATTGAAAAAGGTGTTTACATGCTTGTGATTTTTTTCTTTCCATTCTGCTTTATTCTGAGAAAATGCCTCTGTTACTCTTTAGAAGAGACAGGAATGACCAAATTCTTACAGACCTTCATTTATCTGAGAGATATTTGGATTTGATGTACAGCTGGGAACATCATACAGAGGTCTTTATTCTAACCTAAGGGACCCAATAGCCAATTAATATTCTTTAACTAGAAAGCATGCCCTGAATGTTTACACCTCTCTCTCGCAGTGAAGGGCCTGATGAACAAGGGAAAAAGATAACAAAAAAACCGTATTGATGAAAATCTCCTTTCTTTTTTTCAAGACCACATACAACAAAAGACTTGGGGCCGAGATGCCCCATAAACTCGCTATCTAGTAGCTGTTGAAATTAGTCTTTAACTGGAAGCAACAAACTGAAATGGTAATTTGTTTATGCTTTTGCTGTTGCTTTCTTCTATTGTCTGAGATAAAGAGCAATTTGTGGGAATTCTCATTTTGTTTGTGAGCTAACTGGGCTGAAAATATTTTTCTAAAACTTGATCAGATTGGTGGGTCAGATCAATATACCTTAGAGGCCAGGAGTGGTGGTGGCTGCAGTACAACTGCACAGCCCTGACCAAACCAAAATGTGGGAACATTTGAGTATCCAAGTTGTGTCAGTTGTAGACTTAGCATTTTTGCTGTGTGGAACATAGCCACACATGTAGTAAACTCTGTTGTAAAAGTTTGTGCTTCTATTTACATTCCTCAGGGTTATTCCCTTTCTCCTTTTAAAGCATCTTTATTTTTAAACTAGGTAAAGATATTTATGTTTTCAATTATAGTTTACCACAATGTGCCCTTCAGTTGTAACTGAGACTAATTGAGTTACTCATTCTCTCAGCTCCAACGGTTATATTATTTAAGCTGATAATGAGTAACTACTCCAAGGATTTCTAGAGGTTTCCACAATAGCAAGATCAAATTTATCCAGGTAAATCTGAATTTCAAATTATAACCTTTCAGATGAAAGTAGCACTTCAGAGATGTTGAATCAATTAACACACTCTCAAGAACGGTAACCCAGGCATTAGTTTGTCCCCACAATGGAAACCTAAAGGAATGGGAGTCCAAGCCAGGTGTGCAAGTTCATTCAGTCTTTTCTTTCTTTTCAAATGTCTTTGCCCTGTCACCTTTTCCTTTTCTTACCTTCTAAGAAATTTTTGAGCCCAAAGGAAGATGGTCAATGAATTTCTTTTTAGTACTGAAAGGATTTCTGAACATTACAGGCGACTTTTTTCCTATCTCAATAGGACAAGTGTAGCTGCTACATTTCACTTCATTTCATTTCATGCCTTTTTCATCTGTCAGGTGGATTGCTATAATGCCTTAATAGAGTCCTGCTAATTTTCTACTCTTTATCCTTAGTCAGGTAGCCTGTGGTGTTAAATTCTTCCTTAGGATTGCATCTCTATTCTTCTGGAGTGTCAGAGTAGAAAGTGAATTCCTCATTAGCACTGTGTGCATTTCACAATCACAGTACCCGTAATATTGCATCTGGAGGTGATAAACAAGTAGGCAAAGGACATGGGTTTACTGCTCCAATTACTGAAACCTCGAAAAATGAAACAGTCTAGGCTTTGAGAAGAAAAGGTACACAAGGATTCTAAGGTTGTTATGTAATACTTTTGATGTAATCAATATAGTCATATTCAGGAATGAGCTTTGAATTTTGTCAACAAATTTAGCATATGAAGTGGTCTGTACATGTGGAGAATTCCTAATATATGGGATAATTGGCCAGTCATACTCCAGTTCTGCACTTAATTGACTTTCACTACCTACGTTGATAGCAATTTAGTCATGATTTCAATTTTCTGGGTTCAGTTTTCTCTGAGTTTTAAATATAGTAGTTAGAAGCATGGGTTTTGGTCACTGAAGTTTAAGTCCTGTCTAAACCATTTGTGCCTCTGTAATTTTTGGATGTTAGAGTTGCAGTTTTCTCATCTACATAGAATGGGGATAATGATAACACTAACCACATATGGTTGTATTAAGGATTAATAAGTGAGTAGAACATTATCACTTAATATTAGTTACCAAATATTGTTATTGATTTTAATATAGCTTCTCCAACTCATATCCTGAAAACCATAACTATAAATGAAATGTTTATGAGCGTTGAAAGTACGTTTTTAAGAAAAATTATGATACACGAATATTGCATTTTCCAGTTTCAACTTGTTTCAGAGGGAAACTTTGAACCATGAGTAGTCAAAAAATAGTTACTTACCTAATTCACAGTTCTTTCCTTCGAATCCAAATGGACACCAACATTCATAGGAATTAATGTCATCCTTACAACTGCCACCATTTAAACATGGATTGGACTCACACTGATCTCCATCTTTGAGATAGGTTAAGAAATTGAATTGGCACATAAACTGCTTAGAATGCCCAGTCCTCCCCTGTAGATACCCATTGGGATGGGAGTCTGATTTTAGGGTCAGAGCAAAACTACTGACCTGGAAGCCAGCTGCCTATAGGCATATGATGCTCCTGTCTTCCTGAGTTTCTAAAAGCCACCCAAACAAAGATCCTTAGGCTGACACTGTCCTAGGAAAGTGCCCTGAGGAAGGCATGTACATAGTTTATGCAATGCAAGGGAAGATGGAGCAGGACGTTTTTGTATAGAAAGGTACTATATCAGAACAGGGTGAGGATTTTCAATCCTTCCTTGTAGAATGATGGCAGAGTTAATTCCAAGTCAAATTTAATTGCTTCAACAAGTATTATCTCTATGTCACACAAGGCTCTATTGCAGGTCTTGTAGAGCAAACTGAGCTAGATAATATATGGTGTTTCCACTTTAGGAACTGACAGCCTAGGCATGGAGCAAATGAATCTGCTTTCTTGTATTGTCACTTAACTTTGATGTATCATATGCAGTAATAGTTCAAGACAATAGAAAAGATATCAGAAGCATCTGTTACTGCTTAAAGATAGTCTGTGTTCTATAAATTAGATTTCAAATAGTCTAGGTAATGTGAGAGACAGCATTCGATATATCATACAGAATTTAAAAAGATTCCACAGTGTGCTTTATTTATGTATGCATTGGTTATGTTTTCATTCTGCCTTTCTTGAAGTTTCTACATTTACTGTGTACTTGAAAGTCTTTGAAGACACTGATGGTAAGAAAAACAGGAGGAAGGAATAGGCAAAAGGAGAAAAGTCAGAATGAGAAGGGAACCTTTAAGTCTGGTTTCTTAGTGCTCTGCCTTAATCCACACTTCTAAAGGAGCTTCGGGAGAGAATGATGAATAGAACCAGAAGGGAGATGGTAGGCACTTTGAACTAGAAAAATATCCCTGAAGAAAAAAATGGGAGCTTGATCTGTAAGACTCAATATATGAGAAACAAAGGCGTAAGAGATAAAGATAACAAGAAGAATCAAAGAATGAGGGAAAAGGGGGAAACTGAGAAATTTCTAATTATCAGTCATATTTTAGAGCAAATCTCCTTGATATGTGGTGTGTAGATTCCTGCCTTTTCTCCCTCTTCTCTGTCGGAAGTGTGTATTCAGGTTCTGTTGACTAAGAGACTAATATCCCTTTATCATAAATATTCCCTCCCTGGAAAATTTGCTTGCTGTAAAAATTAGACCTTGTCCCCTTTGCCCCTAGATCTGATATGCTTTTGCACAGATACTTCAATTTGTTCCAATTCTATGAAAACAAAATCTGTTATCTCTGGTTTATTATTATTGATGTTCAGAATTGGCCTAAAAATGAGCTACATTTGCCCTTTATATTATAGACCAACAAATGTGAATTATTCAGGATGTTTTACTGAAAGGGTCTGGGCTTTCAGCCAGCTACACAGGAACTCATTTGCCGAGACATGTCGCTAAAATGAGTGTCATTTTATCCCACATTTGGTTCTCCTTTGGGTTCGTGTCTGTGTGTACTTTGGGTTCAGGCAAAGCCATAGACAGTTGGGGTCAAATACAACAAGAGACAAGACCATACCAAGTGAGAGATTCCTGTTTAAGACTACCAGGTTCCTGTTTAATGAGTAACTGCATTTAGATTTGAAGGCCATGAGGTGTAATAGTGAAAGCAAGGGGTTGAGCAGTAGAGAATTTGGCTTCTCTTCCGGGCTTCATGACTCCCCAACTAGGTGACCTTTGGCAGTTCTTTTAACTTCCCTAAGCTTCAGTTTACTCTCCTGTGAAATGGAGTTAATAATGCTTTGGTCACAAGGATGGTGTGAGGGTTAAATGTGATAGGCCTTTTGTAAACTGGAAAGTCTTTGACGGATGCTAGTAATGTGGTTCTACAATCATTCTTCTTCAACCAGGCTCTCTATGTGGTGAGTTGATGGTACAGAATAACACAGCAGTGAGAAGCCTGGGTTTCTACTATGTGCGAGAAGAAACATAGGCTAATTTTGTAGTGGTTAGGAATCTCAACTGCAAGTGAAAAGAGGCAGGGAGTTTGTTTCTTTTTTGTTCTTGTTTTTGTTGTTCTATTTTTTGGTTGACGAAGCAGTAGTGAAAGAATAATGCCCTCCATGTTTTCCAGATAGCTATACCTGTGGTATAGCAAACAGCGTACCTATGTGGCCCAAAAGGCAAGGGACCAACTTTAAAATACGATCCTGGGGGTGAGGAGTGAGCAATGAAGGGATTGTAGGAGTTTAATTGTCAGGAATTTTTTGGTGGGGAAAATAGTCATGGATTTACTTTTAGAAATAAATCATGTGATTCAAAGTTCTAAATTCTGCCGGAATGGAGATTACAAAGACCTATTTGGACTAACTTTAGGGGGCACCTCAGTAGAAGTTGGCATGGTAGTATTCATTTCTAAGATCAAGAAAAGTTAGATAAAACAATGTAACAGAGTCAACTATTTTTCTCTCATGATTTAAAAACAAAAGTGGAGGAATTATGAGTTACCAGAGTAAAAGAGTGTCCAGTAGTATCTCCAGAACATAAACTGTAGGAAATAGAATTGAATTTCCAGTTGATGGAAGTTGGTGAATTTGATATCTGGATTAATTTCTTTTTATTTATGCAGACAGTCCTAGGTAAGTCACTCTTTGAAACTTACCCTCCCTCAAAATCCTACTGCTGAATTTTAAGTTATTGTAGTTTTAAAATTAGTTGTTATTAAAGTTTTGAGTTTTCCTTCTTTTGGTCAATTCATTTGATAAATATTTACTGAGTACCTCTTTTCCAGATACTGTTCTAGGTGCTAGGAATATATCAATAAACAAAACAATTGAATATCCCTGCCAACATGAAACTTGCATTTTAGTGGAGTAGGAAAAAATAAATGATAAATAGTATGAATAAGAAATTATATGATACATTAGATGGTGAAAAGCTCTGTTAAAAAATAGAGTGGGGTACTGTACAGGTGTCTGGAGTGGTAAGGCTACTGGGACAGGTTGAAGTATTAATAGATGGTGAAGGTAGGCCTCATTAAGATGGTAACATTTGGGCAAAGACCTGAAGGAGGTGAGGGAGCCAGCCCACAGGAAGTTGGGAACAGCCAGATAAGAGAAACAGCCAGATAAAGCCTCTAAAGTGGGAGCATTCCTAGAGTGTGCAAGAAGTGGCAGGAAGATCAGGGTGGCTGGAGCCCAGTGTGCGAGGAGAGAAGTAGCAGAGGAGGCAAAAAGGGTAATGGGGAGGGTGGGGAAGGACAATCATGGAGGGGTTTGGAGGCCATGATAATGAGGAGGACTTGGAAGCTATAAACATTTAAGTCAATCAGCATTCTCTGATTTTACTGAGGAATGCAAACTTTCATCAGGTCCTAAGACACAATCATTTCAGTCTCTTCCTTCCACTTTCCTGGGGTGGAACAATGTTCTTTGTGAAGACCTAGGGAGGATTAAACTTATTTACCAGCAATAGTTCCCACACTGGCATAACCCTGTAGTATATCACCATTCAATTTGGGTTAGAGGGTTGGACTGATCTTTCTGGGTTCTTTGGCAAAGTTTAATATATTGTCTATTTATGCAGAGAAAAAACCCACATCATTCTCAAATGTTTCATATACTAGCTAGAGGATAAAATGAATTGCTTACCAACATACTGCTTCCAAAATTCAGTCTATAAAGAATAAAAGAAGACAAATTAATGGTAATATTTAAAGTGTTTTGGTATTGATTCCCTATCTTTTATAACATTTATAATACATAAATATATATGGATGCTTTAAAATTGTAAAGAGAAGTGTCTTTTTAAAGATTTTCTATTCTATGCTCTGCATCTGAAGGGTATTATGTGGAAATACTCACTGTTTTTTCAGTGTTTTCAAAAACTTCTCGTGCTTCTTCAAAATTACACTTTTCTTCCATACATTCTCTCTCAAGGTTCCCTTGAACAAACTCTTCCAATTTACCTGAATTATACCTCTTTGGCCGATTCAGAATTTTGTTGGCATTTTCATGATCAAGAAAAACTGAAATGTAAAAGAATAATTCTTTAGTTTTAGCAAAAAAGAAAACATCATGAAAATTTTACATCTCTTAAGAAAGACTTTGTTTTTAATACAAATAATCCCAAAGCCAATTTCTCTTTAGGGCATGGAGCCAAAATCTGTAATGTTCCCACAGTACTGTATACACATGGAGATTTAGGAATTAAAATTCAATTTTACTTTTAGGAGAGTTCCAGTAATAAAAGGTCAGATTTCTAATCATATTTGAATTTACTTTGGATGAAAAAGAAAGTTCTCAAATGAGCAGTTAACTTCACACTTTGTCATCACTTGAAAATAGCTCATTGCGGATCCTTGCAAGGTGATCCATCACCCTGGCTGGGCTGTTTTCAGAATATGGTTGCCCAAATGACTTTGAACAAATGTCTCCTGAAGAACAGAAGCCTAATTATGGTCCAGCTGCAAATGTGACCCCAATGTCTGTGACTAGATGTTAAAGAAAAACCACTGCATTAATTTGAAAAAGCAATTTCAGATCAACAGCACTGTTGGTTGGCAAGTGTTATAGGAATTGCAGTGATCTGAACATCTCTCTAGAATTCAGGGTGTGGATTTTTTAAGTTACATCTACCTAGTCTGTAGAGACACTCCTGAACTCTGGAGGACTGATGTCTCTATCTGAATTATCTTTCTCCTTCCCTCCCTCCTTCCTCTCTCCTCTGTCTCTCTTTTTCTCTCTCTCTCTGTATATGTGTGTGTGTGTGTATATATACACACACACACACATATATCATATATATCGTATCATATATATATATATATATGATAATCATTTGTTGCATAATGACATTTGGTCAATGATGACATTATATGACAGTGGTCCCATAAGGTTATAATAGGAATTGCAGTGATCTGAACATCTCTCTAGAATTCAGGGTGTGGTTTTTTTAAGCTACATCTACCTAGTCTGTAGAGACATTCCTGAACCCTTTAGGATTGATGTCTCTATCTGAATTATCTTTCTCCTTCCCTCCCTCCTTCCTCTCTCCTCTCTCTCTCTTTCTCTTTCTCTCTCTCTGTGTATGTATGTGTGTGTGTGTGTGTGTGTGTGTGTGTGTATATATATACACACACACGTATACATGTGTATATATACATGTATACGTGTATATATACACATATACATATACACACATATATATATGATAATCATTTGTTGCATAATGACATAAATATATATACATGTATACATGTATATATACACACATGTATATATCATATATATATGATAATCATTTGTTGCATAATGACATTTGGTCAATGATGACATTATATGACAGTGGTCCTGTAAGGTTATTATACTGTATTTTCACTGTGCCTTTTCTATGTTTAGATCCACAAATACCACTGTTGCTGTTGCCTACAGTGTTCAGTACAGTCACATGCTGTACAGGTTTGCATCCTAGGAGCCTAGGAGCAATAGGCCACGTAAATATAACCTAGGTATGTAGTAAGCTATACCATTTAGGTTTAGGTAAGTACACTCTATTATGTTCGCACAATGATGAAATTGCTTAATGACACATTTCTCAGAATATATCCCCATTGTTAAGGAATGCATGGCTGTATACACACACACGTGTTTGTGTGTTTTCATGTATATACATATATGTGTGTGTATGTATAAGATTAATAACAGGGACTCAAGAAGTTGCTGGAGTTGTTCCTTTCTTCAAGGGTCTAGCAATATATCTGATACCATCTCAAGAGGACCAAGGGCTTATAAGATGAACTTTCTGGGGTATTTGGGACTACTTCCTGATTAACTCCAAAAAGGAAGATAAAGGAAAGTAAAAAGGAAAGGAAAGCAACGGAGATGAACTAAACTTTCTTCCCTTATTTTCATTGCAGCTGTTCACTTTATGGAGTATTCTAGTCCCTTGACATCCCTGCTTTTCCCTGCCCTTCAGGTTCCTTTTGGGCTCACTTTTTGTCTTTGAATTTAGCCTAGACTTTTTCTCTTCAACATTTTTTTTTTTTTTTTTTTTGAGACAGAGTCTTGCTCTGTCGCCCAGGCTGGAGTGCAGCGGTGCGATCTCAGCTCACTGCAACCTCCATCTCCCAGGTTCAAGCTATTCTCCTGCCTCAGCCTCCTGAGTAGCTGGGATTACAGGTGCCCGCCACCATGCCCAGCTAATTTTTGTATTTTCAGTAGAGACAGGGTTTCACCATTTCACTATGTTGGCCAGGCTGGTGTCAAACTCCTGACCTCAAGTGATCTGCCCGCCTGGGCCTCTCAAAGTGCTGGGATTACAGGTGTGAGCCACCATGCCAGGCCTCTCTTCACCTCTTCATTTGCCAAATTTCTCAGTTTCCTTCACTTCTTTGCAATGCTGTGCCTATCCTGCAATCCTAGTCCCTAAATCTGAGCAGCCATCTGCCTTCATCCTTCTCTTCCCAGACAGCCAAGGACTATAAAGGAAAAAATCACCGAACTGCAGATGGATGCCACCACATATTGATGCCTCACAGCCTCCACCCACCTCTCTGCTCAGCAACTCATTTATTTGGCCCTGGACACTCCTAAATAGCATCCGTACCTGCATCCATTTACAGTCGTTCCTCAGTATCCATGGAAAATTGGTGGCAAGACCCCCTGCAAATATCAAGATCTGTGGGTGCTCACATCTCTGATATAAAAATGGCTTACTATTTGCATATAATCTAAACACATCCTCCTTTATACTTTAAATCATCTCTAGGTTTCTCGTAATAGCTAATACAATGTAAATGCTATGTAAATAGTTGTTATGCTGTATTGTTTAGGGAATAATGAAAGATAAAAAAGTCTGTACACATTCGGTAGGGATGCAGCCATCCATTTTTTTCTTGAATATTTTTGATCCGCAGTTAGTTGAATCTGTGGCTATGGAACTCACAGGGAGAACTGACTGTACAGTGAGGTTGAGTGAAAAAAACAGACTTTAGAATCAGATCAGACAGAAATAGGTTTGAATCAAGTATCTGCCTCCTCTAGACCTGTGACCTTGGACAAGTCACATAAGCTCTGAACCGTAACTTTGTCAAATGTAAAATAGGTTTAACAGTAGTATAATAAGAATATCTACCCCACAGGTGTTGACAGGATCAGTGAGACAATATGCTGGTTATCTCTTTTTCTCCCTACTCCTTTCATGTTGGCCCTACTTTCTTCCATTTTAAATTTCTTCATTCTCTTTAGCTCTTTAATAACTTTTGTGTAGCTCTTTTCCTTCCTTAATCACATTTATATAATGAAATGACTATTGTCATGATCCAAAATGACCTAAAGAATAATTTTGAGTTTATGTATTTACTGGCTGCTCTAAATATTTTCTAATTGTTGATCTCTCCCTTTTTAGGAAACTCTTTTTATAATAATCACTCTATTCCGGTTCCCCTCTTGGCTGTAACTCCTGTTATCCATCCAGCACTTGAATTGATTAACTCCTGTTCCTCTCCATGGCCCTGAGAAGTCCAAGGTTCTCCCAGGCTCCAGCCTCAGCTTTTTCCTTTTTCACTTTATACATACTTGCCAGCGCTGGGACAAGAGTGAACTAAACAAGGCACGTAGGGCACAATATTTAAGAGGTCCTCACTTCTCGGGGTGTACAAGTATATTTATGCCCTATAGGCCTTGCTTACCACACCCTAGTCCGGCCCTGACCCTGTTAACAAAATTTACTGAGCATACAACCACTACTGCCAGGCACTGTACTAGGCATCACAGTATCCATGCTCACTCTCTAGATGCCCACACACGTGGCTGTAACTACTGTTTACAGAACACTGAGTTCCAAATACTCATCTATAGTCAGATATGTCTCCTGAATTTCAGATTATCTTTCTAACTCCCTAACCGATTATCATAATGTAGCCAGTAATAGCTGATGTATATGTAATGCTTCTGCTGTGTTGGACTCTGTGCTCAGTAACTTTGCATCCATTATCTCACTTCATCCTCACAAAAGTCCCACGAGATAGGCACTATCATCTTATTTTTATAAATGAAGAAAACTGAGATTCATAGAGGCTAAGGGCTTTGCCCAAGGTAACATACTAAAACATCAGACCTAAAATCCTAAAACATCAGGATTCAGACTCTGGCAGTCAGACTAACGAGCCAGTTCTCCTAGACATTATGCTGTGGCCCATAATCACATCAAACACAAAATGCCCAAGGCTCTAGCCACTTCTCCTCCTATACCCAGATGGTTAAGTCATACCACTTCTACTTCCTTCATATCATTTGAACTCGCCCCTTTTTTTGTACAGGTACTGTTCAGGTTCCAGCCTTTGTGTCTCCCGTAGATAATTGCAATAGTCTCAAGACTGCTCTCTCCTAGTCTGGGTATGGCCTCCCTCCCCAGCTATCATTTCATTAGAGTGTTGCCAGACTGGGCATCCTAAATCAGCCATCAGTCGTACTCCTTATGTTTATACTTTGGTACCTCCATATTGCATTTTATTGCCCAGTCTCCTTAGGTTAACGCCTTCATTATCTGATGACCAGCTCTGCCTAGTTTACCTGCCTCACTTGTCATACTCCATATGGAACCATACAAAACTCCTGAAATACCTCACGTTCTTGCAAATCTGAGTCTTTGCACATGAGTGATCCTCTTTGCATAAAATGCCCTTATGTCAGACATTTAAAGAGAGAGGACACCTCATCTTTTTAGACCCAGATGAAAATACTTTCTCTCTATCAAGTGTGTCCCCATTTAATATGTTCTTTTCTCTATGATCCCTTGTAACTGGTGCACATTTTATCACATTATATTGAAACTTCTCACCTGGCCTCATGGTGCTTTAGATCAAAGAGAGAGTCTTGTTTGTCCCCATACCCCTAATACCCTGACACAGTACCTGGCACTGTAGTTGTAACTCAGTAATGTCTGAATGAATGAAGGACATCTTTGATGCATACACTTTACAAAACTAAACCGGTTTTGCAGAACTGTTTTAATTTCAAAATTCCAAACTGTTGCAATAATACCTAAAGGCAGCAGCCATGAAAATGCAACATCTCAGCAAATCACTCACAGAAACTCCTTTTAGAAGCCAATGAGAGTTTTAATAGCAGAAGAGAGTGCTGCATTAATACTGTCCATCCTTAGAAAAATTCCCCTGGCCCCCTCCTCAAGGGCTTATTATCTCTGGCTACAATGGCTGCAGAATCACATTGCCTTTCTCCTTAGTATTGTCTGGGGATCATATATTTAACTTCCCTTCAGGTTTATCTCTAGTCATTATTTCCCTTGCTCCAAAAGCCTGGTTCACCTTTATTCTTATCTGTCCTTTCCCCAGCATCTGAAGTCTTCAAGGAGGCAGAAGCCCTCTACCTTGATCATCTCACCACTTCTACAGAAGAAAGGGTTTGGATCCTTTGTCCTCCCAGATGTCACACTAATGAGATATGTCTAATGACCTTGCTTTATGTCCTGCTTTGTGAGTTTTCCAACAAATTTTCTTTATCCCTTGACTTTACTCACGTTGCTAGTTTAACCTCTGTATTTTTTTAATCATTATTTCAGCATTTCAGTCTGATTTCACAGCTGACATCATGTCTGGAGTGGGAACCACAGGGCCAGTCAGCTTTCTGGGGGTGCTTAGGGTTGGCACCCCTGATCTTGGTACTGTCAGCTACTAGATTTGATTCTAGAAGGTTGACAAGTAAGTGTGATAAATGCTTCCTGTGAGAACATGCTGTTTGTCCAAATGGGATAATTTCTTCCCCATATGCCTTCCTCTGGGGAATATATAAAGTCACTGTAGTTGTGAAAAAACAAAGTGATATATGTTGCATTAGCTAACTTCCTACTCTTCATGTCAATTCTTAGACTTGCTTTTCTCCCCTAGGGAACTCAACTGAGTATTGTGTTTCCCCAAATATCAACTCCAAGATGTTTTACATAGAGACAAAATGATTTTTTCCTAATCCACGAAAAGTTTTGGTGATAACTAACAGCTTGCTAATGAAAGGTTAATCTTTATGTTTTAACTAAAACTTTAAATTGAAGATATATATTTTATAAAATTAGAGACATACCTCATTACATACTTCTAAAACCTTGAAATGTCATGTATCTTAAAATCAGACTTTTTGTGTAAATAAGACCATTGTGCTTTCATTTCCTATTTTGATTTCAAAGTGGTAAGCCCAAACAAAAAATAATGTGGTTAATTTTTTCACTGTATTCTGCTATTTCTTTGTTTTCCCACTTTTGATTTTTTAAACCAAGGAGATGAATGTTTTCTAACAGGAATTACATGACCAAATCATAAACTGAACAGCGTTTGTTAAACATAAATGCATCATAAGCATTGTTGATCTGTTTAGTTTTAAAAATGAAGAAGAAAACCTAGCTAACAAAGAACCAGTACTTACCAACCTGCATGCTGGCTGCTAGACTCTTCAATATTGCTGTCAAATCATGTAATCAAACTTTGGTGAAGAAGACAGCATCAGATATTTCTATATCTAAAAGGCAAGCATACTCAATGTATTTTAAAAAAGGAAACAAACCTGTACATTCAGCACTGAGTAGATATCCTAAAAGGCAGATGGTGATGAGGCCTGGTGATTCTGCCATGATCATGTTCACACGCTGCATAACCTTTGCTAGCTGATTGTGCAAGTGGTAAGGTCGATTAGTTGTACCAAAGTACAAGCTGAGCTGTATTTACTTCTGGGAAATAATGTCCATCTCCCTCAATGGGTCTTTGGACTATTTCCAATGGCCTCTTGGGACAAGTGAAGAGAATGGGCAGTGGTCATTATTAAATTTCACCTCTGACCTTGTGGGCTTCTGCCACTGTGGCTGATTTGAGGCTGAAACAGGAAGTGATACATCTTCAGAATGAAGATAGGCATAGTGGCTACTTTTACTGGGGCAGCACAATTCATCACTGGGACACGTCTTATCTTTGTAAGAGATCACTGATGTTTGCCAGAATGGCTGTACCACTTTACATTTCCATCAGCAACGTATGAGTGGTCCAGTTAGTTTATTTGATTTTTTTTTTTTTTTTTTTTTTTTTTACTGTCAGATTCTTAAGGTTGTTTATATATTCTAGATATGAGTCCTTTCATAGATATGTGGATTACATATATTGTCTCCAGCCTGTAGCTTGTCTTTTGTTCCCTTAATTAGGTCTTTCACAGAGCAGAATTTTTTAGTTTTGATGTAGTTCAGTTTATTTATTTTTTTATTTTATGGATCACTTTTAGAACTCTTCCACTAACACTAGATCCTGATGATTTTTTTCTAAATGTTTTACAGTTTGAAGTTTTAGATTTATGCCCATGCTCCATTTTGAGTTAATATTTGTGTAAAGTATGACATTTAGGTCCACCTTCATTTATTTTTTTTTTCCATAGAGATGTCCAATTTACCTAGCACAATTTGTTAAAACAAAAAGCGAAAAAACCACCCCATCCTTCCTTGATTGAATGGCTTGCGAAATTTTTTCATAAGTCAGTTAACCATATTGTTTTGGGTCTACTTCCAGTTTCTCTAGCTATTCTTTGTGCCATTGATGTAGTTATCCCTCTGCCAATACCACACTGTCATAATTATTCTAGCTATATAGTAAGACTTTATAATAGGTAGAGTGATTCCTCCAACTTTATTCTTCTTTTGGTAAGATGTTTTTAACTGTTCTAAGGGCTTGTATAAATTTTAGAATGATCTTATATGTATCTAAAGAGATACTTACTGGGATTTTTATAGGAATTATGTAAAACCTGTATGTCAATTTGGGGAAATTGATACCTTCAATGTGTTGAGTTTTTCAATCCAGGAACATAACACATGTGTCTCTTCACTTATTTTGGTCTTTTATTTCTTTCATCAGCTTTTTGTAATTTTTAACATATATATCCTATACATGTTTTAGTAAGTGTATACGTAAGGATTTAATTTTCTCTGGAGTAATTATGAATGCTATTGTGTTTCATTTTAAGACTTTATTTTTTTTAGAGCAGTTTTAGATTCACAGCAAAATTGAGTGGAAGGTACAGAGATCTCCCATATACCCTCTCCCCACACATGCACAACCTCCTTCATTATCAACATGCCTAGCCAGAGTGGTCCATTTATCACAATTGATGAATCTTCATTGACACATCATAATCACTCAAAGTCAGTTGTTTACTTTAGGTTTCATTCTTGGTGTTGTCCATGCTAAAGGTTTGGACAGATGTATAATGACATATATCCATCATCATAGTATTATACAGAGTAGTTTCACTGCCCTAAAAATCCTCTGTGCTCTACCTTATCTCCCCACAACCCCGGAAATCACTTATCATTTTTACTGTCTCCATAGCTTTGACTCCTTCAGAAAGTCATGTACAGTTTGATGAAGATACATTCGGAGCAATGTGTTATTAGGCAATTTCATCACTGTGCGAACATCACAGAGTGTACTTACACAAACCTAGATGACATAGCCTACTACACAACTAAGCTATATGATAGCCTATTGCTTTTAGGCTACAAACCTGTACAGTGTATTACCATACTGAATACTGTAGGCAATTATAATATGATGGTATCTGTGTACATAAACAGAAAAAGTACAGTAGAAAGAAAAGAAAAAATAGTACACCTGTATAGGGGACTTACTAAGAATGGAGCTTGCAGGACTGGAAGTTGCTCTGGGTGAGTCAGTGAGTGAGTGGTGAGTGAATGTGAGGGCCTAGGGCATTCCTATACACTACTGTAGATTTTTATAAACACTGTCCTCTTAAGCTACACACCAAATTTCTAAAAAAATGTTTAACCTGGCCAGGTGTGGTAGCTCATGCCTGTAATCCCAGCATTTTGGGAGGCCAAGAAATGGGTGGATCACTTGAGGTCAGGAGTTTGAGAGCAGTCTGGCCAAGGTGGTGAAACCCCCTCTCTACTAAAAATACAAAAATTAGCCAGGCATGGTGGCACACACCTGTAGTCCCAGCTATTCGGGAGGCTGAGGTGGGAGAGTTGCTTAAACCCGGGAGGCGGAGGTTGCAGCAAGCCGAGATCACACCATTGCACTCCAGCCTGGGCAACAGAGCGAGACTCCGTCTCAAAAAAAAAAAAAGTTAACCTTAGTTTACAGTAATGTGTTTGTTTTATAAACTTTTTAGTTTTTAAACCTTTTTGACCCTTTCATAATAATACTTAAAGCATAAACACATGGTACAGCTGAACAAAAATATTTTCTTTCTTTATATCGTTATAAGCTTTTTCTATTTTTATTAACTTTAAAACTTTTTTTAAAAAACTAAGACACAAGAAAACATATTGGCTTAGGCCTCCACAGGGTCACGATCATTAATATCACTGCCTTCTACCTCCACACTTGGATGGTCTTCAGGAGCAATAACATACATGAAGCTGTCATTTCCTCTGATACCAATTCCTTCTTCTGGAATACCTCTTGAAGGACCTGCCTGAGGCTATTTTACAATTAACTTTGTTTATAAGTAGAAGAAGTATACTATAAAATAACAATAAAATATAGTATATTAAATACACAAATCAGTAACATAGTTTTTAGTTATCAAGTATTATGTAGTGTACATAACTGGGCTATATTTTTATACAACTGATAGTGCGGTACGTTTCTTTACACCAGCATCACTACAGACACCTGAGTGATGTATTGTGCTACAATGTTACAACAGCTATGATGTCACTATGCAACAGGAATTTTTCAGCTCCATCATAATCTTACGGGACCACTGTCATATACGCATTCTGTCATTGGCCAAGATGTTATGTGGTACATGACTGTAGTTGAAATCACATACTATGTAGCCTTTCCAGATTTCCAGATTGGCTTCTTTCACTTAGTAATATGCTTTTAAATTTTACTCATGTCTTTTCATGGTTTGATAGCTCATTTCTTTTTTAGCCCTGAATAATATTCTATTGCCTGAATGTACCACAGTTTATTCACCTATTGAAGGACATCTTGGTGGTTTCCAAGTTTTAGCAATTATAAGTAAAGTTTTTATAAATGTCTGTGTGCATGTTTTTGTGTGGATGTATGTTTTCAACTCCTTTGAGTGAATAGCGTGGAGTGAGATTGATGGATTATATGTTAAAAGTATGTTTAGTTTTGTGAGAAACTGCCCAACTGTCTTCTAAAGTGGCTGTTCCACTCTGCATTCTCACCAATAAGTGAATAAAAGCTCCTGTTGTTCCACATCCTCATTAGCATTGTATTGTCAGGGTCCTGGATTTTGGTCATTCTAATAGATATATAATGGTATCTCATTGTCGTTTCAATTTGCAATTCCCTGATAACATATGATGTAGAGCAATTTTTCATATACTTTGCCATCTGTGTTTCTTCTTTGGTGAGTTGTCTGTTAAGTTCTTTGGCCCATGTTACATGAAAATAACTCATTATTTTCTTATTGTTAAGAGTTCTTTGTATGTTTTTGATAACATTCCTTAACCAGATATAGCTTGGGGAAATGTTTTCTTCCAGTCTGTGGCTTATATTTTCATTCTTTTGACAGTGTGTATCATAGAGCAAAAAAATTTTAATTTTAATGGACTCTAATGTATCATTTTTTTCTTTCATATATCTTGCCTATGGTGTCATATCTAAAATGTTATAACCAAACACAAGGTCATCTAGATTTTTTTTCTTATGTTATCTTCTAGGAGTTTTCTGGTTTTACACTTTACATTCAGGGCTGTGATCCATTTTGCATTAATTTTTGTGAAGGGTGTAAGGTTTGTGTCTAGATTCGTTTTTTTTTTCATGTCCAGTTCCACACCATTTGGTGAAAATACTATCTTTTGTCAATTTTATTGCCTTTGCTCCTTTGTCAAAGATCAGTTGACTATATTATGAGGGTCTGCTTCTGGGCTCTCTATACTATTCTATTGATCTATTATATTTATATATTCTTTTGCCAATATCATACTGTCTTAATTACTGTAGGTTTATATAAGTCTTGAGGTCTGGTAGTGTCAGTTCTCCAACTTTGTTCTTCTCATTCAATATTGTAATGGCTATTCTGGGTCTTTTGCCTCTTCACATAGACTTTATAATCATTTTGTCAATATCTGATATGGTTTGGGCTCTGTATTCCCACTCAAATCTCATCTTGAATTGTAATCCTCAAGTGTGGAGGGAGGAGGTGATTGGATCATGGGGGTGGTTTCCCCCATGCTGTTTTTGTGATACTGTGCAGTTGAGTTCTCATGAGATTTGATGGTTTTATAAGCATCTGGCATTTCCTCTGCTTGCCCTTCTCTCTCCTGCCACTATGTGAAGAAGGTCCTTCCTTCCCCTTTTCCTACAGCCATGATTATAAGTTTCCTGAGACCTCTATAGCCTGTGAGCCAATTAAACCTTTTTCCTTTATAAATTACCCAGTCTCAGGTATTTTTTTATAGCAGTGTAAGAATGGACTAATACAGTAAATTGGTACCAGAAGTGGGGTAC